TGAGTTGATGACTCTTGGTCTGAAGAATCTCTGTCTGCAGTACAGAGATGTTTCTGGTTTCCAGAGCGCAGGTTTAAATTGTCAGGATCTCTTTGAGGGTTTAACGGATCTAAGACTTTTGATACCAGGGAGATCACATGCGGAATTTGTTAGCCATTTCTCTGGAGGTTGTGTTTTGTTGTTTGTGTGTTTGTTTGTTATTTTACTTTTTAATATCCTGTCATTTGCTAACTTTCTGGGGTGAAAAATACAACAGAACACCATGAACTTGGCAGATACTGGGAGATAGTAAGGCATGCAGGACCCAGGTATGTTTTTAAGTCAGATAACCCACACTGCTGAGTGTCCACAACATAGAGAACACGGATCTGACTGTGAACAAGGTCCATCCCGTTCCCTCTGAGACCAGACCAGGCTGTGAATGAAGGGCAGCATCATATTTACAATGGTTGGAGTGCTGTCAGATCTGGCCCTATTCTAACATGTTTTCACTTTTGGAAACTCATGAATGTCTAGAAACTTGCTTTTATACAGCAGGTGAACTTCTGAATTCTGACTTAAGGTCTAATTCATTCCAATGACATCTGAGACACTTCTTTAGCTGAATTTCAAGATAGTAGCTTTCTGTCTTTACTAGCCACAGCAACTGATCAGTCTGGTCTTGGCAAGAGATGCAGCAATGTTCAGGGATTGAGCTAGCTCACTAATGCTGAACTACAGCATAGTTATAACAATGATGTAACATGGAAGTCTTATCACATCCTTAAGGTGCTTACATTTATTTCTAGAGTGCTATAGGGCTGAATCCTAGACTCCTTTCTTTCTATGTTCTGTCTAGTTGATCTCATTTATCTCATGCCTTTCAATACTATCTATATGCTGACGGCCTCCAAATGTATCATCTGTAGCCGAGACATCTCCCTTGGACTCAGGTAGCCAACTATCCTACTTGACTTCTCTATTGGAATTCAGTGGGCAGCTCAGACTCCACAGGGGGCTCCCAAAAGGAGTTCTTACTTTTTCTTCCCAAATGTTCCCCACCCAGCCTCCTCATCTTAATCAATAGCTACACCATTTGACCAGTGACTCAAGCCAAGAAATTAAAAAATCACCTTTGGTTTCTCCTTTCTCTTCATGCCCACCATGTAGTACACTGCCAGAATTGTTCTTTTTACCTCCAAAGCAATAAACTTCTCTCTATCTCCACTATCACACCCCGGTCCAAGCCAGCACCTTCCCTTACCTGGATGACCACAGAACTCTGGACCTTCTGCTTCTGTCCTTTTCTCCTCAGTCCTCCCTAAACCCACAGCCAGTATGAGCCTCTGCCCCTAGTGTGCTCAGGCCCTCTAACAGCTTTCCATTGCTTTTAGAACAAAACACACATTCTTCACCATGACCTGGACTGACCTCGGCATGGCCTACTTTTCCAAACTCTCCCTGTCCCCCTCTACTTCTCTTACTGGCCTCCTTCACATTCCTGAAAGCATGAAGCCCTCCTGTAGGCCTATGCCTTCCTCCAGCTCTTCATTCAGCTGGTCATTCTTGTTCTCAGGACTCAGCTCAAGCATCACCTCTTTGGAAAGATTTCCTTGTCTAGTCCATCTGAGTAAGGTCCTCCAAGGAGTTCTCAGCTCATTAGCATATTTCATTTCTCCACCTGCCACTGTAAACAGTTGTACTGCTGGTATACGTTTTACTTCATTCTGTCAAAGAGCAGTCATGTGACCCCCCTATGATGCTGTAGGTCAGGGGATGTAGTATAAACCAGACAAAGTTCTCAGTGCCCTGGAGCTTACATCCAAATGGAGAAGAGAGGCAATAAGACAAATAGCAAGTAAACAGACAATATAATATCAGGTAATGAACATGCTATGAAGAAAAAGAGGGTAAGCAAATTGAGACAGACAAATGCAAACAACAGGTGGCAGAAGGTCATGTAAGAACTAATGACCAATAGGAAGACATCCCAAGTAAATGGGTAATGGGTATTTTATTCAAACTGGTTTTGAAGGTATACACTATTTTGAGAAAATTAATTTTAAGCCATATCTTACAGCATAAGTTCCAGAAGGATTAAAAAGCTAAATCTGCAAGGGAAACCATACAATAGAACAAAACTACCTAATCTCTGCATGGGTAAGAATGGGGGAGTCCATAAGTATGGAAAGAAACTCCATGAAATGATTGATCAACTACATAATCATGAAGTTAAGAAAGTGAACACATTGGGAGAAATACTACAAATAAGAATAATAAAAAGGCTGATAATTTACTATATGTCCTCCATTCTAAAGCTCTTTTTCTTGCATTTTAATGTTTCTTAAAATCAGGATATGTTTTTCAATGACTGTGTACTTTTAATGTGATCATTAAAAATATTAATGGTATATCTTATGAGTGATAACATCATGCAATCAATGTTATTTTCTTAAAGTTCATGAAAATTAGATGAACAGTAAAGTTCCTGGTAGAAAATGACCTGCACAACGCTAACACCCAGTCTAAGATCAGTTGAGTTGTTTGAGCTAGAATAAGGACTTTGGCCAAGCCTCTCAGTAGTTTAGTGATAGGAGCAGATCCGACTCCAGTCTGCATGACTCTGAATCCTGGGTTCTTTCTTCAAATGACCATAACTGGTGAGCTGACACTGTCCTGCCACCAGCACTGTCATTCTTTGTGCCCTCTTCCTTCCCACCTGCCTCAGCGCTGGGTTTCAGACTCAGTGAACTGTGGGTGCAAACAGAAAGCATCGCCATGGATGCCCAGGCAGGGCTGGTGTCCTTTTAGCAAAAAATAAAGTTTTTCCAACAAGACACATAAAAAGTCCAATCTTAGATTATTTAGATTCCTTCTTACATGCTTTTAAAACTTTGTGTGCTCAGTCATAGGTATTATTTAAATTTGAACCAACATTTTAGCAATGAAAATGTAAACTATAGCTACAGCTATAGATTTCGGGAAGGACAAGAAGGAAAAAGGACCAACCATACACCATTCACAATGTCTGGGAGAAACATAATTCGAAGTTGTCCTAAATCAAGGCCTTTGGAAGCAGATCCTGTGTTGGGCAATTCTTGTCTAAGTGCTTTATTAAGGAAGTGTTCTCAGGAGAAGGAGAAAGAAGCAGAGGCCAGTTAGGAAAAGTTAAGTAAGGGTGTGGCTCTTCTGGATATTAGCTTCCACCTGGTCCCATGGGGAGCTCTGGAACACAAATTGTACCAGAATGGCCCCTCACCGAGGCAGGGGAGCTGATCTTTCATGCCCCTGTGGTCAGCCAGCCATTGGCTACATGCTGCCTCGAGGTCAAGTGTAGCTTAACCAACCCAAAGTTGCTGGGGCAGTTTTCCCGGAGAAGCAGGCAGCTGTAAGCCATTAGTGGCCAACTCAGTATCTGGGGATGGGTGCGCTGCTCAGTACGAGGATCTGCGTGGGACACCAGTGGCATCCTCTGCAGCAGTCCAAAAGGAAATTAATTTGGAAGATTATCACATCAGCTTTGGTAGAAGGAAAATTCACTTTAAGGGAGGCATTGTGGCAGGTTTCCTCTGCAAAGGCTAAGAAGGTTCTTATGGAATGTTTGTGTTATTATTGGAAAAAAGAAAAAAAGGCTAGAGATAAAATTAGAAACAATGATCAGAAACTAGCTTATGTAATACCAAGTCGTCAGAAGCAGGATGCTTAATTCCTACAGCATCATGCATTTTTATGCTAGCTTTTTCTAAAATCATTTTTCACATTGGTACTTTACTGTAAATACATTTTTTGCTAACAATGCTTTGCATAGAATGTTCAACTATATAATAAATTGTGGACACGTGCCATTACATATTTGTCAAAACCCCTAGAATATACACCACCAAGCGTGAACCCTAATGTAAACTATGAACTTTGAGTGATAATGACACGTCATTGTAGGTCCATTGATGGTAACAAATGTACCCCTCGGGTGGGGGATGTTGATGGTGGGGGAGGCTGTGTGTGTGCTGGAGCAGGGCCTGTATGGAAACTGTCTATACTTTCTGCTCCATTTTGTTGTGAACCTAAAACTGCTCTAAAACATAACGTCTATTTTTAAAAGTTTACAACTCTAGAGAAAGCTGATTCTTCTGGTCAGTCAGTTGTCTTAAAGACAGAGGCAGTGTTCTAGTGACATTTTTAAAATAAAGTTCTCTCCACTTGAACATCCATTCCCACCATCTCCAGTGTAATTGATTGGTCTAGTCAGTGGGAAAATGAGTTAGGAAATGTAATGCTGACCAGGCTGCCAGCACCTCAGAGGGTCCCTCGTGGAGAATGGTTAATGTAACCAGAGTATTCTGTGACCACATCTCTTGAGCAAGCATTATTTGAAAACAGTATATTTGATTTAAAGTTTTCCGTCTCATATTTATCTGCACAGAACTTAGAAAATTATTTCAAGTTAACATACAGTCAGAATCAGGTGACTAGCATCCACCAATGGCATAATAAATTTATTCAGTATGTTTTTTCATAGCTGAGAACTCACTCTCGGCTTTGAAGGACACCTACATAACACATACACAGCACTTCAGGTTACATTCATGCATGTGCACGCACATACCCTTTCATTAAAAGAAAAAAAAAATGTATCAGTATCCACTCCATCTAAAGTGGTTGACTCATTTCCCAAATACCTATTGCTGTTATACAGATTCAGCCTACAAATAACATTTACCATGTTAAGCTTTTAACCAACACTTCTTAGAATTATTTTCTGAAATTAATGTAAACTGCTCATTGGGGTTTTTTCTATGACTTTAAAGGACAGGCATCTCCCCCACAGGAAGATATTTAAACTGAAGCTAATATGGATGAAAATGAAAACTAATAACTTTTATGAAATTACAGTGAGATTTACCCCATAAGCTGCTTAGCGTTTCCATAGAAACGTGATCTGTGAAGCTTTATTGTAGAAGTGCAATCCCCTGGAGATGAGATTTCTAATGCTGTTTGTGGGTTGCCTTTTCCCCTCACAGGCCTTGAACCGGGGCATCGCGGCTGTCAAGGAGGATGCGGTGGAGATGCTGGCCAGCTACGGGCTGGCCTATTCCCTCATGAAGTTCTTCACAGGTCCCATGAGTGACTTTAAAAACGTGGGCCTGGTGTTTGTGAACAGCAAGCGGGACAGAACCAAAGCTGTCCTGTGCATGGTGGTGGCCGGAGCCGTCGCCGCCGTCTTTCACACCCTGATAGGTAAGTTGTCAGCACGTCGCTTGAGAATCTAGCTTTGGTCGTTGCTCCTTCCTTTTAACGTATGAAAGTGTATTTATTATAATAAGTGATTTCTTCAGTAATTATTAAATCTTTCTCATGCAAATTTCAAGAGTCTGAAGGGATGGAGTTTGTGCTCCTAGCTCAAGAAAGAAAATGTGTTTTCTCTGGGGAGCTGGAGTTTTGTTTGATTTCCAAATGCGGTGGCATGGAGGGAGTAATTTCATTAATAGGTGACACAGTATAGGATTAGAGTTCAGTAAGGTCAACAAAATAGCAGGTGCTTTTGTTAGAGACAAGCTTTATTATACACTCACTTAATCTTAAGAATTAAAATAAAAGGATGTTATTTGAAATTAATACTTGTCAGTAGTGAGAACAAATGACAGATTGTTTTATGTGTCAAAATTAACTTCTTCTGTAGAGCCTCATTATTCTATTTTGTTCAAAGACAAAACTAAATACTCTTGGCATACATAACCTTCTTTCTGTGAAACAACAAGGAAGCTATATTGTACACGTAGTAACTAGCCTACAGTTTCACCAACACCTTGGAAGAGCACCCCTCTTTAGGGCCAGAGTTCTACTCTGCTGCCTTCTCTGTGGTGGCAGAACACGAGGCCACCATTTCAGAACAACTTGGCTTCAGGGCAACCTGGAGTAAAGATGAACAGCACGTCTATTGAACCCAGTTGCCCAGAACCTGTGAATGACACTTCCTAAGCACATTGTGTACCTTCAAATTGGCACTGGTTATAGGAGAACCGTGTTAAATAAAGGCGCCAGAAGATTAACCCAAACCATTTACAGTCTGTTCAGATGGCCGCTAATGTTTACTCAAATAACTGTGAATCTGAAAGTAAATGGAGTAAGGTCTTCGTGGTTTGTCTTTTTAATGTAGCGTAGAATTTTGTGCTCAGACACAGTGTGGATGAGAGGATGCTACACTTGGACCAAGTGTTCAGCCAAAGTGTTGACATTCACCATTAAACTTGGCCTCAGAGCTTCAGGGCATAAGGTTAAGAGGAGATGCCTTTCTCTCCCCAACTTATGCCCTAAATACTAACATGTGGACTAAGTTTTGAAGAAACCTTCTATAGCTAGATTTGATCTAGGCCATTTTCATGATCATATGTATTTAAGGAAAATTCCATACATGATGTAAATTAGGTCTAAATAAATTTTTGTTTAAACAGGTAAATTAGTTCCCTCTTGCTATTAGTTTATCTATTTGGATTTCTAAATAAACCTAACACTCTCTGTCTTGGTCATGGTTGAATAAGGCTTGGGGTGAAAAGCGTCTTAGTAGCTGTCAGTAAACATGGAAGAGAAAGGCCAAGCTTCCTGTGTTACTGAAATTGTTGTGAGGAGCACATGATCACTGAAAAAAAAAGTCAGTGTCACTTTCCAAATTAAATCTAAGTTTTTCAATTTTCAAGTGGAATCATAAAATCTTAAACTTGAACCAAAATGGTTCTATCCCCCAGATATATATAGCAATCTTTTTTTTTCACTTTTAGTATTTTTACAATCATAGTGCTTTTACTTCCACCAAATGGATGTTTTCTGCAATTGCTGAGAAAGCACATATCAGTTTCTTCTGAACACTCCAAGCTCAAATCTTAATGATTTGCCCTCTTCCAGTTTGTTGGCCTCATTTGAGTTTTCTGCCGAAATCTTTAATCCCTCCTGCCTTCTGCTGCATCAAGCATATTTGCCTCACCTTCCTTTCTCCTTCCATTTTTAGCAATCCCGTTAGCTTTTCTGTACCCAGGTCTTGTTCATTGTTTGCATTAACTTGACCACCGGCTCCAGACAGCATGTTGCCCTGTTGCCATCACTAGCCTTTCCAAAACTATTTTTCTACCATCAATAAACATCACCCCCCATTCAGATTCTACTGTATGTGTCACCCACACGAGACACTTAAACCCATTCTCACATCTTAGTAATGCTGAAAACAGCTACTTACATTTCTCCTTTAATAAACACTTCTTGCATAACTATACTCATGACAGAGGAACAAGGACATGGAGAAAACAAAAAGGCAAATAACCCAGATATATTTGACTTGAGAAGCCATTGTGTGCTCTCAGGCCATGTTTCTAATGATACTTGCCTGGACTGATATTGAAATATCTACTCCATTCATGCACAGCCCTGAGGGGCTGGCAGGAAGCATACGAAGCCGTATATATGTCAGAGACTCCCCATGCTCAACTCACAGAGTGGAAATATGAACCAGAGGAATCCAGGCTCGAAACCTAACCTCTCCGTATTCTTTTGTTCAGGTAAAACTAGCCTGATTGTCTTATACTTTCCCTTTTTGGTGCTATTTCCCCATTGCCTTAAAGATTTTATTTTTTTTAATCACGCTCTTACAGCTTTTCAATGGTATTTCTGTAAGGGTGTGTGAGAGCATAGAGGAGGGAGAGATTCCTTCCCGAAGGAATTGGTTCACAAAAGCCTCATGAAGTTAGAAGGTCATCTCTTAACTGGCTTGTCAGCACAACTCTTTTTAATTTTCCCCTTACCTTTGATACAAGATAGTCGAGAATTTGATCCAGGGCTCTGAATTAATATTTTCCTATAGCCATATAAAATTCCAGATGGTGACTCTTCTTGCCTATTTTGCGGCTCGTGATTTTAACACCACACTGGCATTCTGCTTTGTTTCAGTTTAATGGCCAACTCTTCTTGGTTTCTTTTTGCTTTGTTTCCTACTTAATCTTCTGTTCATTTTATTCTTTATGATATTAGTTACTTTTCCTAACATGATGCCTCTTGTGCATTTAAAATCTGTAGATTTTTCATTTTGAGATATTCTCAAGCATCGATAAAATTCATCCATTTTCCCTTATGATATTATTAATGTGAATGGTAACTGTAAAGAGATATACCACTGGTATTAACAGAGCTGATCTTCCTGCTTTGACTAAGGAGGAGTGACTAAGGATTACCCTTTGTTAAACTCAGTTTTAAAATAATCTAATCCCCTTCTGTGCTATCAGTGGTCCAACAAAAGATTTATTGAACAAATAATATGTGCATGTTATTCCAGATCCTGTTGATCAAAAGTTGGGAACAGAGGTGATATAGCTACAAAAGATATGGTGGCAAGATACACCCCTCTCCTTGGGTAGATGTAGCCCATGGGGAAATGTACGTGTTTGGTACCTGTTTCCAGAACACTGGCAAAAGCTGTTTTCAGCCAGTGAGAGCTTTGGAGACATGGTAAAGGTAAACCAAAGTTAAAGTGGGGAGAGTTAAAAACCACCCTGGACTGAGATAGCAGAGTGACTGTGAGTAAACAGGAGGGAAGGAGCTCTTGGCAAGGAAATGATGTGGGAGGCACACTGTAGTCATTTTATAAATTGGGGGAGATAAGGCAAGGAAGAGTTCAGTACTGAATGTGAGAGGCCCCTGTACAAGGGTTGGAGCAGGTAACCAGGTAAGGGAAGTGTGGAGCCTGAGACTATAGAAGAGCTCACTAAACAGCCCAGATAGCAAAATGGAGAGGGAGGAGGAGAGACTGGGAAGGACCAAGTAGGAGGGGGAAATGGGCAGGGTGGGCATTATACAGTGAGCTCTATGGCTGTATCTGAGTAACTTGGAGATCCTTTGACACCAGTGGGCACTTTTTCTGCCGTGTCAGGGACAACCATGTTGAATAAAGCAGATTTGTTCTGATGTTCATGTAATATGTTTAATGCAGCTTTAGCCAAGAAAGATCTATATATTCTACTTTTGCTTCTTTATAACCTCAAGCTCTCTAAAGAAAGTTTTAAGAAAAGTTAGTAAAGAAATTTTAGAAAAATTAGGTCCATTTTATCATTCTGCATGATCTCCTTGGTTTTGACCTAGTGCCTTGGTTAGATACTCTCAGATTATTTTTTTCAAAGATTGTATATTCCACGATGCTTTAGTCATTGGAGAAATCCTGGTCCCCAGCATAAACTTCTCTACCTTAGATTTTTCTCCCAACCTAAATGAATTTTGATGCTTCATACTCTTAATTATCTACTAATAATTTATCAATTGCTGGAGCATCAGTTAAAAAAAGGGATTTCAAATGTTAGCATCTTCAGCTTTGAAAAAGCCAGTTTCAGACACAGCTCCTTACTTGCACTCTGTGTCATCCCTGAGCATCAGTTAACAGGTCACGGTCGGACATTAGCAATAGGCTCCGGTCGAAGAGCCCCAGAAGCTCTGTTATCGTGTTTGCCCCAATGCGAGGTCCTTTTCCTTATATTTGCAGTAGTTGAAGAAGTTTTCTTCCTGTGTTTTGTATTTGTTTTCTCGCACGTGGCTATGGTTTCCCCAGACGTGGCTGGAGAAGGTCCCACTAACCACACAGGCACTTCCCCAGGAACATGTGGTAGAGACTGTGAGGGAAAGGTGGCTCCCCCCAAAAAAATGTATCTAAAAACTCCCCACCCCATAACTTTCTGCAGCAAGCCAAGTGAGGAGACACTTGGAATTGTGTTGGACTGACAGATTCGAAGATTACAAGATCCACCGGCCCAGGAGCTCATGTCTGCTCTCTGCACACCCATAGCCTGGCTCTGGATACCAAATTGCAGGAGACTTCGGAGTGTTTTTGGCTTTTTGTCTTTGGCCTTTGTTGAACACTTGTCAATAACTGCCCCTTTTTAGGCTACATTGCAGTCACTGCTCTCGTCATGGACTCACTTGTGAGATCCCACTTTTTGAACAGCAGTGCATAGGGTTTGCCAGGGCCAGACCTTAATTTAGGCCCGTGGGCAAGGTGCAGTCCTAGCCTATTTCCCTCCCAATCTAGAGAAAAGGGGAAAACTTGCTGACCTCATATTTGGTTTCATCTGGGTTCAGCTTAATTTTACCTGCACGAAATTAGTATTGCCTGACCTCCTAATTCACATAGATGTGGAAATCACTGCCGTGAATTTCTTATTTCTTTATACATTTATTCTCAGCAGTGACATGTAAGGCCCTTCCCTGGTCCCAAAACAGCCTGGGCCGTCAGCAGAGCTCAGAGGAACAACACTACTGCGGTGAACAACTAAAGTTATTTCTAGAGTGGTTCTTTTTCTCAGTCTTCCCTTGTCAACAAACTTCTCCATTATTCATGGATCAGAAAACAGCCCTGTAAAGTATGGATAATTACAATTTGATGTAGTTTAAACCAACAAGGGTGCTAGGAATGAACAAGCAGTTTCAATAAAGGCTCACAGTCTATCGCTATATAACAAACTATCCCTATATTCAGTGATTCAAAACACAAGCACTTACTCTGGCTTACCAGACCATGGCTGCGCTCATGCCTCTGTGGTCAGCTGGCGGTCCGGAGGAGACTCTGCTCATGCTGGCGGGCGCACTGGGGGGCTGTCACCTCACTGCAGGCTGGTCTAGATGGCTTCTGCTGGGACATTTTTGCAGTCAGCCTGCCGCAGTCACCTCTTGGGGGGTTATGGACTCATGCATTTATTCAATCAATATATATTGAGCACCTCCTATGTGGCAAACACTGGCCTAGATCCTGAGAATTCAGATATGACCACAGCATGTTTTCTAGAGAAAAGCAGGTATTACACAGTAAATCATCCCCAAACCTGCTCTTCCAAGTCTTGATACCAGTGAGATGGAATTTTTGTTGTTGTGTTACTATTTCACATTAACTCTACTTACTTTGTGTATAGGTTTATGCCATCTCTCCTAGGCCTGGGCAACATTGTACGTCCCTTCTCTGTGTCTTCCAGATAAATGTTGCACCGTGCGGATTACAGACAGACATATCATGTGTCTGTGACCCAGCCCTGACGCAAGGTGACAAAGCACCTGACACATATAAGTCATTCAACCATTTTTGTTAGAGGGATTTAAATGTCAGCCACACAAACACACGCTTTGGGAATGATACGTTAGAAACCAGTGAAAAACCCATAAACGCAACATAGTGGGCCAAGGAATAGTGAGACTTTCAACGTTGGGAACTTGGGGATCTGCATCAGACTAAGAGTTCTCAAATTTGCCTCTTGTTAATACACTTAGTATCCTGTTATTAAAATGGGAGGAGGGCTTTCTCCTCGATTCCCATGGGAAAATGCAGGTACATAGACTTTGTTTGGTTAATGTTACTATTTTGTCACATTTTCCTGTAAGAGCTTATAACTACTGGATGAACAAGCTTGAGAACCAGTGATTCTGGAAATGGTCCATGACCCTGGCAGGCTGAGGTCAGAGGAGCCAGGGACTGGCATGGGCCCTCTGGTTTCTTCCTGCCTGTGCGGGGTCAAAGCTGTCACCTGTAAATAGGTCAGGTCAATGCCCTCTGACTGCAGCCTCGGCTGGAAATCCATTTACATCTGTTTAAAAACCTTGTTGAATTTTTCTTTTCAATGTTCTGCTCTTCGTAAGGAATACAGGCTGTTTCAGAACAATCTTGGTCGGACAGTTGATGGAAGTTGAAGGTTACTAGATGTTGTCACGGGCAGCTAGCCTGGTAATTAGGGACTCTATGCAAAGCCCTTTAAACAAATTACCCCCAGCCAACAGCTCCAGCCAGAAACAGCTCCAGCCAGAAACAGCTCCAGGGCAGAGGATGGGAGGGAGAAGGGCAGGGGGGAGGGGTGGAAACAGCTGCTGGGATTTCATAGTCCCAGCTCACAGGGTGGAAACTACCTTTGTAGGCAGGATCAGACTCTTCTGCCGTGCAGGGGAGGAGTAGAAGGAAGAAAAAACCAGGAGAAAAAGCTCCCCTTGGCCTCTGAATTTTTCTAATACCTAAAAGAAGAAAAGAGGAGCAAAGGCAGCCTTGGACCCATAGGTCCCAAATTACCCTGGGACCTGGGGACGCTGAAGGAGCCCAGCCCAGCCGCAGGCTGGATAAAGCAGGGGTGCGGGGGAAAGTCTGGCAGTCAGCAAGCTGGGCTGGGCTCGTCACCCATCAGTCCTTCAGACCCTGTTAAGCTTTAAATGTTTCCTTCACTACTCTGCAGAAAGGCACTGCTTTTGCGGTTTTAGTTAAAATATCCTACCATGAGCACGTATCTTAACAAAGGGTAAAGACGCTTGTTTCTATTGATCTCTACACTCCCAGGCCACACAGCAAACAATATGACCCCTCTCAAGAGCAGGTCCCTTCTTTCTTGCCACTGCCCCAGAGTCTCACAAGAACATTATTCTCTCTCTCCCGTTCTCTGAAGCCGCCTGTATGAGTTTGCTAGTGCTGTCCTAACACAGTAGCACAGACTGGGCAGCTCAAACAACAGGAATGTGTTGTCTCCCAGGTCTGGAGGCTGGAAGATCAAGGTGTCAGCCGGGTTGGTTCCTTCTGAGGCCATGAAGGCGAATCTGACCCAGGCCTCCTCCACCCCCCCAACTTCTGGTGGCTGGCTGGCACCTGCAGCCTTCCTTGGTCTGTGCAGGTGTCACCTGTTCTCCCTCTTCATGCTCTCCTGGTGATCCCCTGTGCTTATCTATCTCTGTGTCCAAATCTGAAGGATACCAGTTATATTGGACTGGGAGCCCACTCTAGTCCGATATGACCTCATCTTAATTAACTAATTATATCAGCAATGGCCCTGTGGCCAAATAAGGCCTGAGGACCAGGGGCTAGAATTCCAATAAGAACCTGGAGAGGACAAAGTTCAGCTCATAACACCACCCTTGGGGTCGCAGGCTTTCACCAGTTTTCTGGTCCCCAGCTTTGCCTACGCAGTCAAGTCCACTCAGCTGGCCTTTGATATTGACTCTAACCTTTACCAGGGAGGTTTAGCTCATGAGCTATTCATAGCCAGCCCTGCACTTGGCATTGCACTGCTGTGCTGGCCAGCATGACTGCCTTGTGTGTGGCCAGTGGCCTCCGCCAGGGTGGGGCAGCGGTGTGGGCGGGGCAGCGCCGTCTCCTCGCAGGTCCCAGTGCAGTGAACATCACCTGCCTGAGTGCAAACGAATGGACAGATAAACAGCAGCAACAACAACCTCCGAGACAAAATGCCCAAGGTTAAGCACCTAAAGTAGACAATATATATGATAAAGCCACATCTCCGTGTTACTTTGTGGTTCTGTCAGCTTCCCTCAGGCCTGAGTGCCTCAGTCAAGCCTTCTCTTGCCCACTTTCATCCATTTGCCTTCTGATCCAAATTTGACCTTAACTGCTGCCTCCTTTCTCCCTTGTCCCTTGCCCGCAGTCGTACCTTCCCACCTTCCCACATCTTTCCTCTTCCTGCCACATGTCACCTCCCCTCCTGAGTGTATCTCCTTGCTGCCTCGGTGGCCCTGCAGGCCCCGCCCCATTCCACACATGGCGCCTTTGCTCACCTAGCAGCTCACCCTACGGATTTCCCCTCCGCTCCTCCTGGGAGGACTGGGCCCCCTCCTCCCTCATTGGCCTCCCCACCTTACCCGTCCCCTGCATACCTTGGCCCTTCCTGCTGCTACCCCTCGGAGTCACTTACTCACACCTCTGCCCCAGTGGGATTCCATTTGTGCATGTAAGTAGCCTTGATACCGTCCTGAAGACCTCACTCAATTCCCATAATTCAAGATTAATCCTGACAAAGGAAGGGGAGTCATTTCTTTTCACTAGTTAATGTGGTAACAAGTCATCTCCCAAGCTTTGCAGTAGAGGGGAGGGTTCTTATTGCTCCTCATGAGGTGAGGCTCTAGCTGCCTTCTATCTCCTTTCTGATTTCAGAGCAGCTTCTGTGGTTGTCAAGTACATAAACACCCACATTTATAAAAGCAGCAGGGGCACTACTACCAGGGCACTATATAAAGGCCTATGAAAAACACAGGGATGAAAATCTTTCTATAAAGTCTTAACATGTGTCAATGAAGTAGAAAAAACTTAATGGTTTATTTCGTCTTTACTAATACTGTCCATCAAAGTGCCTACCTAACACATGAGGAAGACCTTTCTCTTTCTTCCCTTTCTATCTGTTTGGCATCGGCCCGTTCATTCAGCCCACACTGGTTAAGTGCTCACTATGTTCCAGTCATACGCTGGTCACAAATCGTGATGTTGGAGGGGCCTCAAAAGCACCCCAGAGATACCTTTTTTTTTTAATGGAGCAAGGCTAAGCCCAAAGTTGCTACCCTCCTCCCCAAAAATGAAAAAAAAAAATGAACAGAAAATGGTGAAAAGCTAGCTGTAAAATTGTTACTGAAAAGGCATAGTAACATCTAGGAATTTTCTCTTAGTACATGATTAAGAATATGTGTAAACACTTACCTTTAAACCTATCCATCAAGCCTTCTTTAATAATATCAAAATAATGGAAACCACATAAATGTACAATAATAGGAGATTAAGTTGATACTAAGTAAACCTACAGAAATGAATTCAGTGCAACAATTAAAATGTAGAAGCATGTCATGAAAAGGTATTCATGGTTTACAAAGGCATATACATAAGTATGATCACATCATGTTTTCTGTTAAAACACATGCATACCGCACACACGGCCACCACGCACACCCCCATGAAAGAACTGGACAATCCGAGCCCAGAGTACACCATGACCTCGTCTGGGTAGAGGGATGAGATTGTAGATGGTTTTCTTCTTTTTGTTCATCTAAATTTTCTAATTTAAAAAAATATATATTACATTTAAAATTGTTTTTAAACTTTTAAGAGAAAAACCATATACAGATAACTTTTTCTAAATATCACCATGTATGTTTTTTGGACCTTTTGCAGCTTATAGTGACCTAGGCTACTACATTATCAATAAGCTGCACCATGTGGACGAGTCAGTGGGGAACAAAACGAGAAGGGCCTTCCTGTATCTTGCTGCCTTCCCTTTCATGGATGCGATGGTGAGTAGAGAAGATTGTTGGCTTTTGTTAATTATAGTATTGTCTATAGAATGTAAAACTTACCATCTTAACTATTTTTATGTGTACAATTCAGTGGCATGAAGTGCATTCACATTGTTGTGAATCTTCAGAATTCTTTTCATCTTGTAAAATGGAAGCTCTGCCCTGTTAAGCACTAACTCCCCGTTCCATCTCCCCTCAGCTCGCGGCAACCACCCGTCTACTTTCTGTGTCTACAAATTCAACTACTCTAAGGACCCCATAGGGGGGAATCACACAGTATTTTTTTGTGACCCATTTATTTCACTTCATATAATGTCTTCAAGGTTCATTCATGTTGTGGCATGTATCAAAATGTCCATTTCAGGCTGAATAATACTCCGTTGTATGTATGTACCACATGTAGTTCAGTCAGTCATCAGAGGACATTTGGGTTACCCCCACCTTTTGGTTATTGTGAATAATATTGCTATGAACATGGATGTACAAATATCCTTTTCTGTCCCTGCTTTAATTCTTTTGGGCATATACCCAAAAGTGGAATTGCTGGGTCATATAACAGTTCTCTTTTTGATTTTTTTGAGGAACCACTGTACTGATTTCCATTTTACATCCAGCAGTCAGAAGGGTTCCAACTGACCATTGACTTTGAACCAGTCCATCTTGTCAGTTTATTTTATGAGAATTGTCTTTATTTGCTTTAAGTCCTGGCAGGCCCCAAGAGAGCCAACTTGAAAATTTTGGTTTAAATGGAACATTCTCTTCTGGTGTCTTCAGGATCGAGGGATCAGGGTAGCTTTCTGAACAACTTACCACTTGTGTGCTGTAAGCACATAAAGCTTTTTAGAATAAGAATCTTTTGAATATACGATAGGGTTTCATTACTTTCAACACCAGCTTTACCACATTAGCTAAAGGTGGCTCACTTCCATAGATTAAATTCTTTGTCATGATTCTAAGGAGTTCTCATGCAGTGCTTTTTTCCTCTCCATCTGTGTCGTAGACATAAAGGAGACTTAGCAAAAAAAAAAAAAAAAAAATACAGACACACACACGCATGCCAGTTATAGCCAATGCTAGCAAATAAGCCCTTTCTTTGGGCTTCATTTTAAATTACCCTTGGAAGGAGACTTAAAAATATGTTAATCTGTACAGTTTTACTACCCTTACCTCAGGTTTTATATGCATTAGACACCTGAGGTGAGTGGACATCTGTATGGAGGTGAGGCAGTGTCTTCTCAGATGTTATCAAGGGTCTTAGATTATTGACATGCTCCTGATGAATCTCTGACAGCTTTGCACCAGTTGGCAGGGTGGCCTTAAGTGTTTAACTCTCGGTTTGACACAAAGGTTCTGATTCTCAATTGTTGTGACATCGCTTTAGTGGGAGAATTTAGGCATCAGAACACTTGTACCAAGATTTATTTGTTGTCTTTTTTTATTACCAGGTATAATTACTCTGATAATGGACACATAATCAGAACAAAAGAGAAAAGCAAAGGGTTGGGGCTCCCTAGAACCAGATTCCCCAAGGTGTCCCCGCTGGCCTGCACTGGCGCCACAGTGCTTTCACATCAGTTAGGGGCAAAATGAAGGACCCCGGTTGCATCCTAAAGGAGAAAAAGCTAACATCCCAACAGAGTCCATGGTATTGCCTGATGCCTGCCCCTGCATCTGTATTGGGACTCTGTCAGCACACAGAAGAATCACAGCCATATAGTGGATTCAGGGAACTAGGGACTCGGTAAAAGTGAATCACAGACCCTTAAATACCTTTTATTCCACTTTCCTTCAGCTGTACTTACTTGCCACAGTAGACTGTCTGATATCAGCATAACACCAGAACACGTGGGATTACTACCCTTTTCTTCCATGTTTCATTTGTCAGTTCCCCCAAAGACCCCAAAAGTGAGAGACTTCTAATAAAAAGCAAAATAATGAACATTTATAAAGAGCAGGTCATCTCCCCAAACACACACTCTCTCTCACACATACACACACACACACACACACACACACACCCTTACAGCATGGCCCTGATATATTAGTTTGAGAGAGAATATTTGAGAACCACAAAGCTTATCATCCAGATGGCTTTTGGTCATCAAAGATAGCCCAGAAGCTGTTATTTGCAAATGTTATCTAGAGTTTGCATTTCTTGTCGCATTTGGCACCTTGGAACCTATAAGCTGCGGAAGGAAGTAGATATAGCAGCTGCTATGTAAAGTCTTGACACAGATCTATTTAACTCTGTTGAAATGTGATTCCTGTGTCAGTCCAGGTGGGCCTTTCCAGGTTAGAAGGATGATCCTTAAACCAATCCTACCCTGAACTTCAGACCTTCTCTAAACCTGCCATCCCCTGAGCTTTTCATTGTCTACTTCCCTTAAAGGACCTTCCCTCTTCATTTCCCTCAAAGACACAAAGTGACAGATCAGATCCCACAGAAACTTGAAGAGGAGGAAATAGTGGGACCCTAATCAGTCCGTCAGAACCTGTAACAGCAGCAGTAACTCAGAACCAACTCAGAGCTCTCATTATACGATGCTTTCTCTACAGAGAAGCTGCTGCTTTGGGATTGCGACTGCTCCCAGAGAGAGACCAGGTTCCTCCATGCCTGGTGGTCCCCCAGCTCTCCCACCAGGCATGTGAACCTAACTGGTACACTGGTCTGCAGATAGCTGGTACGAGGTAAAGACTGCAATCACTGACTCCACATTAAAAATAACATGTGGCCAACTTAGTCATTTTACCAACCAAAGATTTACCAACCTGCACTACTAAGATTTTAGGAGGTACAAAGTCTATTTTAGGAAGGTCTGGTACATCACAGTGACCAGAAATAATATAATCCCAAAGGTAGACCTCATGCCAAATTCTTTTTCTTCTGGCAGGCATGGACCCATGCTGGCATTCTCTTAAAACACAAGTATAGCTTCCTGGTGGGATGTGCCTCAATCTCAGATGTCATAGCTCAGGTAAGGATGGCCTGTGTGTCAGGCAGAGCTCTTGGAGCCCTTTCTGGGTGAGCAACAGAGCTCACAGATGCTTCCCGCCCATTCATTCCCTCTGCAGTGTGTTCCTGCATGACTCGAATCAAATGTCGACTTCAGTAGATGTTTGTGAAACGAATGGGAAAATGAACCTCCTATGATACAAGCATGTATAATCTTGCTAGAATGAGCGTTTTAGGAAGTTAAATTTAGTATCAGAGATTTTGACCTTTATTTTTAAAGCACTTGCATGTGAAAAGATTATAAGTCACTGCTGGTACACTTTGGGGTGGTCATAGAGCCACTGCGCACTTGGCCTCATGGACACTCAGCCCTCTGTGTGGCCTGACAGGACATGGCCTGTCACTCGGTTCTAGAGAGAATGCTTAGGAATCATCCTTAAATGTTGTTTGTCATGCTGTTGCCACGCAGGGCTGCCATTCACGCATCATTTCCCCACATTTAAAAGAACAAGGAAGCCAGATGCTGCCTGAGAAGAAGCCTTGGTTGCTCTTTCTGCTGAGTCCAGTTCCCTGGCATCTGGCCCCAGCCCTGGTTTTCCATTCTCCTTCCTTTCTTCTTCCACCGAGGATACTGCATGAAAAATTTCAGCAGAAAATTAGATTTCACTCCTACAATCTATAAATTAGGCTTAGTTCCTACATTCAGGGGTTTAGGAGCATGATTTCTTCACAGAGGAAGAGGTTAGGCTGACTTCTAAGCTCCCTACCCAATTCTCAGTTCCATTCTATGAACACTTCCGTGCATTTCATCCTGGTTTTTCCATCTTGCACACACTAGTCCTTTGGCCATCTTTTTAAAATAATCTATTGTTAAACTGTGAGTCCCTCCTGAAAGACTAAGAGTTAAATTTCCAGATTCATTGCATTTGCTCCGTGGATCACAATGAAAAGCAACTGAAACTCATTCCTGCTAACACAGTGCACACATGCGCATGCACCTGTATGCGAACCTACAGCCATTTTCCTGCTCCGTTTTAAACCTGGTCCTGGCCCTCACCTGCTGGGAGGGCTCCCAAGTTCAGAATAAATGTGCCTGGTTAGTAGGGGCCATGGAAGCTGGATTGAGATGACATCTGGTTTCGGCATAATGCTGGTGAAGTAGTTGTTTTAAGCCTTGTAGTTTGAGTTCCTGCCCCAATGTGGTTGGAGGAGTAAATTCAGCTTCTGTTGCTAAGTCTTTTACCCCTGCCCTCAGCTTCATTCCTCTTATTACCAGGCAGCATTTGTTAATTACCAAATTTGAGAATGAGTTAATAGATCCTAGGCAAAGTCTTTGAAATGCCACGTTGGCATAGATAGATAACAAGCAATCACCAATGATAAAATGAAAATAGTTTATAACACTTTGGCTTGCAGTGGCAACTCCTGCTCTTTAAAAATTTTACTAAGCCAATCGATGTCACACAGCAGTGCAGAAAAGCTCTCTGATTCAAGCACGCAGTGCTTCTCTGTGCCACGGCTGTTGCAGTAGTCATATGTTCCAATTATAATGCCAAGGGGTTTATGAAAAATATTGTGGTATTTGTTTAATTTCATAATCACCTGCACATTCTTAGCTTGCTCAATATCAAAACGAGAATTCCCTTGAGGTTATCAGACCTCCCTGAGACCTCCAATCTTTTAACCTTTCCGCTGTCATCAGCCCTTGCTTTCCCAAGGCAGCTGGCCCCAAGGGTCTGGTCAGACACTTTCTTGGGACCTAGGGAGCCACCCTAGGGCACCCTGCTTCATTGCCAAGCCTTTCCAGTTTTAATCCTAGACTTTTTCTTCTTTTCATCTGCCCTCTTTTCCCCACTTCTCCTGTGCTTGCCCTGGTTCAAAGGGTCACCCCTCCTACCTGCACTACCTGAGATGCCTCATAACTTGCCTCCACCTTCCCGCCCTGTCTCTGCTCCATCCTTCTCCACTCGGCCACAGTGATCTATTCTCGGTGACACTCTGGCCACCTCACCCTCGATCATGGCCTGCACAGTGCTGAAGGCCCACGGGCCCTGTTTTTCTCTCCAGCAAGCACTGTGCTCTTGTTTCCTTGCTCTCTCCACTCTAGCCACACGTCCTCCTTCGGGGGCCTCCATGTGGCCCAGCCCCCTTCCATGGGGTCTTTGCATGGATCCCACTGTCCAGAAGAAAATGTTCTCCTCATGTGTCCCTGTCTCCCTCCGACTCCTGCCCACCCCCTGCTACTCCTGCTGAAGCTGCAGGTCTTAGACACACTTCACGTGGGGTGCCCTCACTCCCTCCACAGCTTGGCCCTCCAGCCATTGCCCTCTTTCCTTCAGGGCTTTGTCGCAGTTTGTCAGTGGACACTCACTGGCATCCTGTTTGATCAAGCTTTCTGCCTCCTCCACTAGACTGTCAGCCCCAAGATCACAGAGTCTGGTACTGTGCTATTTGTCATTGAATCCCCAGCACCTGGTATGGGGCCAGCACATAGCAGACTCTCACTAGGGAAATCCTCACCACCAAGACAGCAAGCTTCCCTCAGAAAATAACCCGACATTCTTTGATGGCTGTGTCAGATTCAAAATCATCTTTTGGAATTGAAATGCAAAGGCTCGAGGGTTATTTTAAATTGCTAAGTGATACAATCCACTGTGTAGATGTAAGTGCTACAAGCACTGGACCACATGGCACCATGTCATTACAAAGACGGGAGAGGCTAAGAGAATCTCCACCTTGACCTTGGGAGCATTACTGGCCGAATGCACCCTCCTGCCCTTCCACCCAGCTCTAGCCCACTGTGCTCCTCGGGCCATTTTCTTGTGATCATCACACTTATTTCTTTGCCTGTCCTTTCAAGTCCTGATCCTCCCCCTTAGTCTTGCACGGCCACCCTGGTGGCTCTGGGTGCCTTCCTGGACTTGGCACGGGAGGGGTTAGTCTTCACGTATTCATCTTTTATACAACCTTTGTCTCCAAACACGATCATCTCAGTTGACGCTGGAGGTTTGCATACGTCCAATGGTACAATTGCTATAAATATGTTAGTCTGAGCTTGCATGTTAGGACACCTTAGAGGCCTCTGATTCCTTAGAGAAATATATGGGCATCTTGGCCCCAGCACAAAACTCTCAATCTTCTGATTCAAACACAGTGGGTTCTTCACAAGGCTTCCGGCAGTTGGTCTCCGTAGCCTGCAGTTAACACGACAGTTGTTCTCCTGGGAAGCAACAGTCATGGCAACAGGCTCGGGCGTCTCTGCTTCCATCACTGGGCTCTGCTGTATCCTTGAAGAGCGTTGAGTGTGAACATGAATGTGAGCGTGACTGCGAGCGCCACCCCAACTTGTGACCAGTCACATTGCCAATGTTGCGGGCAGCCTGGTGTGTCCACGCAGCCACACAGTCCCTCTGTCCTGCATGCCCCTGAGGACAACTGGGCCAGCATCTGTCTCATTCACTGGGTTTGAGAACAAAACTACAGCCTAGGCATGGTGTCCGCCAATGCTCTAAGCAAATCACCTCACTATCTAATACTTCTATTTCATTCAGAAGGGTTTTCTCTGTATCGCCCTGCTTCTCTGTGGTCACTGTGGCAATGAATGTACTCAGTGAATCGTGCTCAGCCTCCAGCTTCTTTTTTAACTTTCTGCCATCACTGATTTCTTGCTAATGAGTGATCATGATAAACCTCCTATGGTTAGGATCACTCAGTGATGGTGTATTTTACATGCCTACCAATTGGTGGCTATTTGGCTATTAAGGTTGATATAACCCAGGGATATCCCCCTTCTTCCAGTACCGTACGTTTGTACCCAGTACGCCTCTGTGGTCCTCAGAATGTGCAGGTCCCAGGACTCCAGATAGAGGCAGGGCTGCTCCTCAGATTTCTGCACAATAGGGAGGTTAAATGCATTAACCCATTTGCTTTAGAGACTATTATTATTTTTCTCCCTCGACTATTTTTGACCTATTCCATTTTTATAAGTTAATGTTTTAATTTGGCTTGTTTTATAATAACTAGCATTAGTGCTTTTGTAGCTTTTTTGGTGAATTCCATCTTATAAATGCTAACATCTATTTTTCTACATACTGTTGTCATTGAGCACTGCTCTGTGTGTGTGTGTGCGTATGCGCACGCGTGCATAAGGCAATTTAGGTCCTCAGGCCTGGATTATATGTGCACCTCAGTATCCAGCCTCAAGAGGGAAAAGCACTGCTGTATCTTTTGGGGTCTGGGTAGCCAACATTTCTTAGCAAACTTTTTATCAAAAACCTTAACCAGATATGCAGTTGCCTTAAAAGAATCTTAGTGGTGAATACAAGATGATCGTGTGCTCATCCTGTGGATCCCAAATGTCTGGCCCTGTATTCTGAGAGCAGTATTGCACCATAGCCCATTTCCTGTTCTCTTTCTCATCATCACTGAGGTTGAGGCTTTTGCTTAGAAATCCGTTTCATCTGGGTGCAAGAAATCGGGCTGTGGTTCAGTGGATCGGTTCTGCCTTCTTCCCTCTGACTTGTCTTGTCTGCCCCTCTCACAGGTTGTTTTTGTAGCCATCTTGCTTCACAGTCACCTGGAGTGCAGAGAACCCCTGCTCATCCCAATCCTCTCCCTGTACATGGGCGCACTTGTGCGCTGTGCCACCCTGTGCCTGGGCTACTACAGGAACATCCACGATATCATCCCCGACCGGAGCGGGCCGGAGCTGGGGGTATGTCCTCAGAACTCGTCGAAAGGCTGTCTGTACATTTGAGTGGAAAAATGTGACCCTACCCTTCTAGGAAATGAGAAATCAGTAAAATAAGCACACTCACTGAGATGTTAAGTGCCAGGAGGTATCCGCAGGGACAGACAGATGGAGAATTCATAAACTCTGGCCATCAAAGAAATCTTAGAGGCCACTGTCCAGCCTTCTTATCTCTGTATGAGACTGGGGCAAAATGGGTCAAGTCGGGCCAAGGAGTACGTACAGTACTTATGGTTTTTCTTACTCTCTATGGTCAAAAGCAAGTCATTCTACAGTCATACAAAATTTTAGCACCCATGGTACCTTTGAACTTACCTTGGATTATTTTGAATTTACAACAAGGATCCAGGCTTTGTGCCTACCTTCTGTATTGTCCAAACACAGTTGACCATTCAGGTACATACCACGGAGTGAGAAGAGCATTTAGGTACCATAGGGTGACACAGAAAAATTTTAAATATGGTCTCTGCTGTCAAGCAACTCTATGTCCCACTTGGCAGATAAAGACCAGTACAGAAGTAACGGGTGTTGACCCAAACATAGATGCAGCGAGAACACAAGAGCCACTGAAGCAGAGAGGAGGAAGTTAGTGATATGGGCTGAGATGCCTCCCTGATGGAGGCACAGCTTGGGCTGTGCTTTGAAATGTAAATAAGATATAAGCAAGATATAATTATTTTACACAAATGACCAAAGCTTCCTTTTCATCATAGGTCTACTCAGTGGCTGATGCCTACGTATGCTGACCTTTTCTACCCTTAGGCATTAGACATCATTTGGATTTGTTTCCATCCATATAGCTATAAGATACATATACATGACCAATGCAGTCCTGAATAAATTACCACACTCCACCCCCAGACTCCACCTTTGACCATATGTTACCTTCGTCATATCAGAACATTAATTGGATTGCCCAGTTACCTCAATCCCAGGTCAGGACACCAATAAAACCCAATCTAGTTATTTCAGTCCTGAGGACAACCACATCAAATTGATCTTGATGGTAACAGTCCATCTCTTAACGTGCAGCCACCAGCAAAGGGAAATAAATTGAAGTGGTTGAGATGGCCCTGTGATGTCACTTCTACCCTCATGAAGATTCAAAACCATAGTTAAATAACTGAAAGCCAAGCTTTAAAGATAGCACACATCTTTGCTGTAGAATTCTTAGTAAGTCACACTTTCTTTACCGTGCCCATTAATTTTCGCCCTGGCCAGGTGGCTCAGTTGGTTGGAGCATTGTTTGGTGTACCAAAAGGTTGTGGGTTCGATTCCTGGTCAAAGCTAAGTTGCAAGTTTGATCCCCGGTCCTGGCACGTATGGGAGGCAACCAATAGATGTTTCTCTCTCACACAGATGTTTGTCTCTCATTCTCGCCCTCCCTTCATCTCTCTCCAAAATCAGTAAACATATCCTCAAGTGAGGAATTAAAAAGTTATAATAATTTTTTACTTTCAAGAGTTACCTCTTGGGGAGTTGGGGCAGGTGGAAGAGGGTAAATGCAGGATAAATGGTGACAGAAGGAGATTGGACTTTGGATGGTGAGCACACAATACAAGGTGCAGATGATGTATTGCAGAATTGTACACCAGAAGCCTATATAATTTTATTGACCAATGTAGCCCTAATAAATTCAATTTTTAAAAAAAAGAATAATAAAAAAAGAGTTACCTCTTACTTACATGGCTTCTAGCCAGTCAGCGTAATGATTTAAACAAAAACTAATTTCCAACTCTTTTCTCAGTCCATGGAGCTGGATTCTACCTGGCTCAGAGTTGCCCTGTTTGGAAAATAGTGGTTTGGATCCCTCAAGGCTAACTGTGTGTTTTGATTTCACAGTAGCCTGCCAACTGTCTGAGTTCATTTTATTTTCACTGTACATTTTATTTTAATTCAACTTGGCTTGTCTACAGAGGCTTTTCCTTACATTAGTTTTAAGTATGGTGACTTGACTTGTGATTGACATCTAAAAGGAAGGATTTGTCTCTGAACTGTTTTTCCTATTCTGCTTCCAGAGTTTAGTGAACTTTTGCCTCCATTTCTTGATGCAGGGAGATGCAACAATAAGAAAAATGCTGAGCTTCTGGTGGCCACTGGCTCTCATCTTGGCCACACAGAGAATCAGCAGGCCTATTGTCAACCTTTTTGTGTCCCGGGACCTTGGTGGCAGTTCTGCAGCTACAGAGGTAGGGTGGTTTCTGGGGATGTGGGCACTCATTGTCACCTTGTAAAGAATGTGGGCAGGGAAGGTGGATTACACATATGTTTCCAACTCATCTTGAGAGCTCAAGGAATTCGGTGATAGGAAATTATATGACACATTCACACATTCACGCTAGGAAGCCATGAGGATCCCATTTGGTGACTTAAAATCATGTAATTTTATATCTTTATGACTACAGAAGAAAATATCTCATTCATCCTTCTTAATGACTATATGAGGAAACTGAGGCAAGGACATAAAGTTAAGGACACAAAACTAGGAAGAAGCTGGGCTAATATTAGAATCCAGATCTTCTGAGTGTAGCCCAACGGCCTTGCCGTTTTTCCGCGGCGTCAGCATGATGCCTGCCCCCGGTGGTTGGAGAGGGCAATGGAACAGGTGTGCGGCTGCAGAAGGGGTGAAAAGACGCAGAGGGCGAAGGGTCAGTGCTTCCATTTGGACCCACCTACTGTCACCTGTTTTTTTTTCTCTGCCGTCCTGCACTTACCACCCACCCCCTTGCGGCTTCATGTGCTCTTTGGCAGTCTGCCCTCCTGCAAAGGAGGAGCCCACTCACAGCTCAAGAAATTTACCTGGAAACTGGCAGCTCCTCCAAAGAGAGAGTTGAATCACTCTTTCCATCCTCCCAAGTATGGTATGAACAAACAGAGTGACTTCATTTGTTTCCTGCACCACCGCCCTCTGGAGAACTAATTCTGTCTGTGGAACCACTGATCCTTCAGGAAGACTGGTGGCTGCTCATCAGGCACCCTTGCCCTTGCCCTTGACCACTCTGTCAGCATGTCTCCAGCCTGGGGTCTCCTGCCAGTTTCCATGTCTTGGGAAGCAGCGCATGTTGGCTTGGAAAGAGAAGCACATTAATCACAAGCAGAACACTTTCTCTTGCCTCTGTTCCTGGAGTTTGTGTTTTGAATCATGTATGGCATCTTGGGTGGCTTCTATAACCCAGCAGCTGTTTTATGTAAATACCACAGTGTAAGTTGCCGAGGAAAAAGTATAAGACCCCCATCACCTCTGTGCTAGAATTCTATCTTCCCCTTAAATTGAACAAAGCAACATATGTTAGAGCTATTTCTCAATTGACCTCAGTAGCATAGAGACACAGCACATTGAGTACAGAATGGAGTACAGTATTGATTATCTATGTATGTGTCAGTATTTGTGCCCATTTCGGCTCCCCATAACCCTGTGCAATGGGGGTTGTTATTCTCCTGGTTCTGCTGGAGGAGCGGAAGGGGAGGCCTGGGGGGTTCATGCTTCCCACAGCTGGTAGGTGAGGAAGTAGAGGTTTGAGTCCCGGTCTGCCTAATTCTAATGCCTAATTCCAACCCATTTTCATGGAAGAACATGCTCGGCCTCTCGTAAGAAATAGTTATTTAGGTTTCTTAAATTAAAAATAATAGTTGGGCTCTGCCACCTGAACAGATTGGAAGTGAATTTAGTCACAGGAGGGAGTACATAAAGCCATCGACAAACACAGGATACTGATGAGTCACCCTGAAGGCCTGGATAGAGGCGAACAGGTGGATCCTAAACACAGACTATCCAGAGAGCAGAGAGAGCTCAGAATCACATTTTGAAACGAAAGGTTTGGGCCAGACTAGAAGGTTTGGTTTGGCTGTATGGAGAGAGCAAAGATTCTGGAGTCTGGACTTGGGTCGAAATTATGGCTTCTCCAGCCAGCAACCTGAACCTGGACCTGCGTCTCGCTGGATTCATGTAAAACAAGACTCATGCTCCTGGTCTCAGGTGCTCTCCTGGGGTCCACTTTTCCCATCTCCAGGGCCACAGTGAGCAACTGTCCCTTCTTTCCCCCAACCCAGGACATCCTGTGGCTGGCCAGTGCTTCTCACCCAGTGTCAAGTGACTTGTCAGCAGTGGCCACTCCTGAGACAGCTTGTTCTGTCACAGGGCCCACGGCAGCTACAGGAGGTGCCCTCCGCAAATGCTGACGCTAACTCTGCTGCCTCTTCCTCTTGCAGGCAGTGGCAATTTTGACAGCCACGTACCCCGTGGGTCACATGCCATATGGCTGGTTGACGGAAATCCGCGCTGTCTACCCTGCTTTTGACAAGGTGAGAACCTGTGCCACGTGGTGTCTGAAACACACTCTTTAAAATCAGGATTTGATAGGCAGGGATCTCTGATGAGAATCACTATGATGTTTCCAGTCTCACCTCCCTTGGGGGGTTATTGTGGTGGCGGGGTTGTCGGAGATGGTGGTGGAATATTTCCCTCCGAAGAAAAAGAGGTGAATTTCAGCTTACCTTGAGGCTAAGCTTATAATGCCTCTTCAAACTGATATTCATGTTTAGGTTAATTCTATTGAGAAACTATGTGTTTGCAAAAGGGAAAACAAACTCTGAAAAAAATGACACATTGAATTTTGTTTCTGTGGTTTGTTTTTTTAGTTAAGCTAATACTTACAGACTTCATAGTAGATCAAAGGTACAGACAGGAACTGTGTGCCTGAGCCCATAAACTTACAGAAGTCTTTCGGTGTGTGGGGTGCATGCCCGCTGAAGTTGTCTATGCAGCAAGTGTGGGTCCACCTTGATCTGGATGCAGTGGACTCATTGCAGCTGAAAGCCTCTGTTGACAGCAGCTCTGTCCTCTTGCTGCTGCTGCTGCTGCTGCCGCCACCACCCAGGGAGGCACATAAGCCTTTGGACATGGACCCTCTGTCTGGGTCAGGATTGTCTTATAAAGGCCTAGTTCATTAAGCTTAATTATTTGAAACTAAAACTACTAGCCTTTTATCCTAAAACAAATGTCAAACAAAACAGACCCCCGAAAGATAATGTGCAATGTTTTAAAATAAAAAATAGTAAAGAAGCATACAACCTGCCACTAGTACTCTTAAAGCAACTGTTTGGCCTTGACTTTCTAAAGAACTGGCTCAGAGCCATTGCCAATGTTGGTTTTTTGTTGTTGTTGTTGTTGTTGTTTTCAATTACAGTTGACATACAATATTACAATAAGTTTCAGGCATACACCACAGTGTTAGACATCTGTATGCCATAAGAAGTGATCGGCAATATCATTTTCTGTATCCCAGCCCTCGGAAGGCAAGAAGAGGAAGCTTCTTTGCGAGGGATCCCCTGCGGATCACATGCCTCTATTCCCACACCCATAATCACCCAGCTCCCCTCAAAATACTTCTAGGATTGCCTCCACGCAGTCTTTTGAGAGACAGGGTAGAAGTGTTGCCCAGAACTCTTCAGGGTGTGGACCTTCCCCAACAGACCAGTAGTTGGACCCTCCACCCATTGCAAACATTCTTTGTAATGTCAGGATGCAGAGAGTCTCTTAAAGAGGGCATTTAATTTCTGCTTCCCAAACCTTTGTGATCAGACATCAGAGGCATGAGTCACTAGCAGGAGAAAGCTGACAGTATGTGTTTGAGTGGGTTTCATCCAATCTACTGATAGACATCATTGTTTCCTTTCAAGAAACATGTGTCTGGAAGTAAATCCTAGAAAACCAAAATGGATGTAAGTCTTCTTACTAAATTTCTAGCTCTTGGAGATCGAGATTATATAATAAAACTTGATGAGAGTAGCAGGTACTGAACTGTTAGAACCTCCTGGCCATGGAGAGTCTCATCTGAACTCCCTTGAAATAATTAAACTTAACAATACTAGGCTATACAGTTTCGCTAGGAGCGCCCAAGAAAAACATTGTCTTATGCATGATCCCAGAGGGTAGGTGCTATGAGAAAATTCCTTTAACAAGCGTACCTCAAGCCGGAAACTGGAACTACTGACTCAGAACCCTTTGGAGACCTCGCCTATTGTTTCCCAGCACTCCACCGAGTTAGCGCGGCCCTTGCGGGAATGCGCCTGTTCACCTGAATCTTAGACTGGGATGACCCGGAGCCCTGTCACCATTGTCCTGTTCTTCCCCCCTAGAATAACCCCAGCAATAAACTGGTGAGCACAAGCAACACAGTCACGGCAGCCCACATCAAGAAGTTCACGTTCGTGTGCATGGCCTTGTCACTTACGGTAAGGAGAGGGACCACCCCCTTCCCCCTCCCCTCCCCTTTTTGTTAAGTAGAAATAGTTACATTAAAGGGAGACATCATGTATTCCATAATGTGATGTTATGCTAAGATTAATTAACAACCTCTTCAAAACATTCTCTCCCCAAACTATGAACAATTGTGATGCAAGGGAGTCATTGAATTCAGGAGCAAAGGGTCGTCTTCTGGCTTTTCTTGGGACTTCTTACATACTGAAGAAAGGCAGACTTTACTTTTCATTTTAATCATACTCTTGCTGAGTAATTTCCAGCCCAGTTTTGAACATCCAGAGCCAACCATCCCTTTTCCAAATTTAATTGGTGCTATTTGCATTTCCCTGGTTCCTCTCCTAATTATATTTATGCTGATGTATCCTACTTATTTATTCACCATTCAACACATATTGATCAAGCCCCTGCTGCCTCCCAAGCCCTGTGCTGTCCTCCCAGATCCAGCTGTGAGCAGGTGTGGATCACGCTGCTCCGCTGGCAGAGCCAGTCAGTGACCCTGCACAGGCTTAAATAAATATCACCCATCCTTCCTTTATCTACTGCCATGGCGATTCAAATGTAGAAGATAATGGAGGAAATACACACGATATAATCTAAAGCATGTGTTATATAATTTAAGGTGGTTTATAACGCTTATATAGTGGCAGCAAAAAAAACATAACATTTATAAACAAGCTTACATAGACAGTGTCCTTTGATGAGGACGAGAAGAGAATCAAAAGATATACCAGTCTTTTGAACCCTGTTCAGTTTTCCTTTGTTGTGCTGGTCCACGTTTCCTGTTCAGTCCTGTGGAGATCCTCTGTTTATTTAGTGCGATGCAAGTATCTTCCTGGAATGCCAGTGTGTGTGCAGTTCTCATCGTAAGTGACTGACAGTGGGACCTAAGGCAGTAAAAGGTGTAGGCTTCTGCTGGTGACAGGGACACAGTAACTGTTGTCCTTACCATTATCACCAGAACTATTTAGCTTGATGAGTCCTGGTGGCGACCCTTTCAAATCAAACCCTACAAGTGTTTTAAACCTTTAGTGGGTATTTTTTTTCAAAGTCCACAGCTTATTATTGGACTCATTGATCCAATTCCTGAACAGATTGTAAAAAGGGCAACAGGAGACAAAGAGCATATCACATAAAACCACTCTGACAGCCACATCATAGCCTTGTGTCCTCAGCCACCCACCACTCCAACCCCTCCCACCTGTCTCTCTCATGAAACTGGGTGAGGAGGTGTCAGAAGTACAGTCTGGCGCCACCTGACCAGAGAAATTTCCGGGAGCACGCCTGTTTGAATCAGGACTGGTTACCCCATACAACCTGCCCACCGTTTGCATTATTTCTCTCCATGGTGTGCAGATTTTTTCATAATTCCCTAAAATATTAGCAAAACACTGAACACCCCTGAATCTGTTTAAGAGTACTTCAGGAAAAACAGAGAAGGTTTCTGTTCCAGGCGCAGACCTGAGCTTTTGGCAACCATGTCACTATTAACACTGCGAAGCCAGGACACGTCCCCAACTTCTGGGAACGATTTATGTTACTAGTTTTTAATCTAGTTGTACTTATCCCCCCAAATTGTCTCATGCCCTTGATCCTTTTAGCAGCGTCCCACTTGAGCCTTCTAAATGGTGTCTGTTTTGGTACAAAATTTTAAAAATTACATAGCTTCTGTTTAACATGTCAGTACATGCCTGCATTCGAAAAAGGACACCTGTGAAGCCACCACCTGAACAAGTTACAGAACCACAGGGAAGACGCTGTTCTTCCCCAGGGACCCTGCACGTGCAGGGTGCCACTGGGTCCCGCCTCACACCCGCACGTGCAGGGTGGACTGGGCCCCTGTCTCACTAGAGACGTGGTTCCCAGGCTGTGCCCCGAGGCTCTCCTCGGAGAAGAGCAGGTTTATCAGAGGTCGCTGGCAGTCACAAACTGTTGTGCCATGAAAATGGCAGTCACTCAGTGGGGACTAACTCATAGACATCCAGGAATTTTATTCTATGACTTTCTATGGCTTTTTTAAAGTCACTTTTATTAGTCTCAGCATAAAGACAGAACCGGCCTGGGGAGCACTTTTCTCCTTATCCAGTGGGCACATCACAGCGGGTAGGGCCCAGCCCTCAGCTGTGGGCGCAGGCGAGGCCTCCTGACAACACTCGCAGTGGGACGTGGGGACCAAGCACGGCTGTGGTGCTCGTGGCGTCCTGGTTTCCGGTTTCAGCACCTGCTCGCACATCCCCAAGGGCGTTGGGCCCTGAACATGAGCACATTCTTGGTGGCCTCAAACTCTCGATATCGTATTGAGTTACATCAATTCAGCACGTGGGGAGTCAGGAAAGCCCAAGTCAAACATCTCAAGATACTTTTTGTAAGTTATCTCAAAATATATCAAGAAACATCCAGTGGATATACATCAGACAGCATGTGAAATGAGTGCGGCAAAGACATAGAACACTTGATTAGCATGCTAAGTGGTCATTCTGTGTGTTTAATGAAGCCAGAAACCATTAGACCCAGGAACAAAAGAAAACAATCCAAAAACCATCTGGTCCCGTGGAAGTATTTTCCTGGCTTGCCTCTCCCACCACTTAGCTGTCACCTGCACCTGCAGACAGACCACGAAAGTGACCTGGAAAGTGAAGTCGCTTTTAGCTAACTGATAGACGGCCTTTGCAGAAAACACTCTTTATTTTTAGTTTAATGAGTTTATCGCTGCATTTGCAGCTCTAGGTCAGACAGCCCACCCGCTCAGGCACATTGAAGTCAACACCGTGACTTGTGCCGTGAGATTATTCTGGGGGTCCTTTCAGACCTTCTGAGCCCACGCCAAGGCTCAAAGAACTACACTGTGATGCTGAGATAAAAAACAGGTGTGGCAAACAATAGAGGCTAGAAAACCTGCTCAGCATTAATCAGGTGCCAGGAGGTTTTAGGGGCTTGACTTCAATCCTTCCTGGGAAGTGGCACTTAACCACGTGGTTTGAAGAATAAGTTGTGAATTGGCCCCTTACCGAAAAAAAGACGACGACAGAGCCAGGGCCTCTGAATTGGAAGTGTGTTGAGATGCCCTCAATGTCCCTGGGGTTCCTGTGGTACCCAAGTGCCCTCTTTTATTTTAAAGGGTTGAGAAGAGAGGTCTAAGAAAGAGGGACTTAGCTCAACCTTGAATCCAGAGCCACATAGCACGGTGGGTGTAGATGTGGCCCTTGAGGCTCTAGCGCCTGGGTTCAAGACCCAACTCAACCACTGACCATTTGGGTGGCCTTGGGAAGGTCACTTAATACTATCAACCTCCGCTTCCCTAGCTGCCACACGAGCAGGGTCAGCATACCCACCCTTTAAGACTTCTTAAAGGATTAATAGCTTGCATGACGCAAGCGCGGTGTAAGCAAAGAATGCCAGCTGTCATCATCTGCAGTCCCCAGACACACGGGACTCCCACTGAGGATAAGAAGGCTGTATCGGTAAATACACGGCTCTTGGTATAATTGATGCCAATGAATAATTTTATGAATTTTTCAAGTTGTATATATAATACCCTTCCTGGTTTTGTGTGTGCGAGTGGGATTTTCTTTTGGTTTTTTTTTCAAATCAGCCTCTTGATAGATTCACACCTCCCTTCCGCAGGTGGGCCTCAGGCGTGCATGAAACACGGGCACCTGTTTTTCCCCCTGAGGCTTGGAAAGCTCTGGGATGTCCTGTCGCACCTTCCTGTTTGTAGCCCCATCGCAGGTGCAGACAGTGCTCACTCCAGCCTGCGGGCGTCTTGCTAATTTGAAATGTCAGTTCCCCACAAACTGCAGCGAGCCCAGAAAGGGAGAAAATGATATATTTAAGCTTCTGGCTTAGACGTCCCATAGACTGTACACACCAACCAAATATTAGAAATGCCGGTGAGGAGAGAGTTTAAGCCACACGCATGTGCATTGCCAAAATTCTGGAAAGCCTGGGCGGTGGCACAGACACTTTCAATGGGATAGATGACGCTTAGGGAGGCTCTGTTTACAGGCGCCACTGCCCGGAGAACAGACACATGCATATTTACCCCTGCAGTCATTCCACGCGTGCTGAGCCCTGCGGTGTGCCAGGCTCCAGGGCCACCACAGTGAAAGAAACCAGCAGGCTCCTTTCATAGGGAATTTATAATTGGGAGGCAGGCAATAAACAGGCATTGCAGAGTTGAGGAGTGTATTAGTTTCCTGCGGCTGCTGTAACAAATCACCACAAAGCTGATGGCATAAAACAACAGAAATTTATCCTCCCACAGTTCTGGAGGCCAGAAGTCACAGTTCAGTTCACTGGGCTGAAATTAAGGTGTCCGCAGGGCACATCCCCTCCAGTGGCTTTTAGAGAAGAATCTGGTCCTTGCCTGCAGCTCCTGGTGGCTGCTGGCATCCCTTGGCCACGCGGCTGCAATTTGTGTCTCTGTCTTCCTGTCGCCTCTCCTTTTCTGTGTCTGCATCAAATCTCTCTTTGCCTCCATCTTACAGGGACATTTGGTGATGGTATTTCGGGCCCACCATGATAATCCCAGCTAATCTTATCTCAAGATCCTTAATTTAATCACACCTATTACCATAAAAAGTAATGAATACTTGTTCTGGGGATTACGGGATGGATATATTTGGGGGGTTGGCCATTATGCAGCCTGCTACAGGGATTCACAGGTGCTTTGAAGGAAAATTAAGTAAAAGGAAAGAGGGTGAGGGAAATGTCATTTTGGACAAGATGGTCAGGGAAGGTCCCCGTGAGGGGACAGAGTCACGTGTAAACAGAATGGAGCCCAGCAGCCTGGTGCTCCCTATGCATGTGTGCGCGTGACCCGCTGTGGACGTGCGCCCCCGTGTCCGGGTGGGCCCTCGTGCGCATCCCCCTCTTTCTGCTCAGGCCCTGCCTCCGTGCCTCCCTCTCTCCAGTGTCAGCCTCTCCCAACTTCTTTAAATATATTTAAGGTTTCCAACCATTAAAAAAAAAAATT